TGGGACCTCGCAGGCCCGAGTTGGGCGGAAAGCGGAACGCTGCTTTGGAAAGGAAAGCCCGATCGTAGTCCTTCAAGACCCTGAGATGCGCCCCCTTAAGCAAAGCAATACCCACCGTATGCAGGTGCAGAATGCAGCTAAGCTGATGCATCCCCAGCGAAGGACCAACTGACCTGGTAGGGAGCTCCTCGAACAGCAAGTCTTGGAGTTCCATCCGGGCCTTCTTAGGGGCCCTGCCGAAGGTCTCACTCTCTTTGTGGGCTTTCAAGGAAAGGCGCTATTTCCATGCGCAGAATCGCCACTGCTTGTCCTGCGAGTTCCTGCGAAGCCAGGCAAGCATCCGGGGGCCTGGCAGCGCGTCAGCGGAAAGCGGAAAAGGAAATCCTTCTTCAACGTGCTCAGCACTTCGGCCGAGACCTTTGGTGGAAAGGGGTCGAGCCATGAGGTGCTCTGCCTCCTGAGTTGGACGCGAAGCTGAAGGAAGGGACGCCTGGCATTGGCGCCACAATAACCTCAGTGCAGCCTTAGCAATAGCCGAGTCGTCAGGAATTGACAACTGATGCAGTTCGGAATCAAACTGCTCCAAGGAGGATGCACAGCATGCAAACAACTGAACTGTCCATCCGTCCTGGATAAGCGAGGCTTGAACCGCATCTGAAATCTTGCATTCGGACATCAGCTTGTCAAGTTGAAACAACAGTGAGTAAACACACTAACCGGTGTGTGCTGCAGAGGCTGAGGGTTGGGGTCCTCGCTGGACTGCACGAAGTCGTCCAGGTAGAAGTGGCTCGTGACAAACGAGGTTGGGCTTGTGCAGCTGCGGCGTGTCCGCGAAGTTGTGCATGATTGAAGAAGCCTGGTACAGTTTCTTCATCTGTAACTTCTTGGACGCCTCGATGATCTTGCGCTGCTGCTGGATGATGCGGCGCAAGGCGGACTTGTCCCACTCGTCCCAGTAGGACTGCTCGCTCCGTGTTCACCCACAATTCCTGCTCGACGTACTTCTTGACGGGGGCCGCAAGGCTTGGCGCCCTTGACACGCTCTTCATCCAAGGCTGGCGTGAGCTTCCAGAAGCTGAGGCTCATCAGCGCTGCCGTGCGCGAGCTGGACGCCGTCATCGAGGAGCTAAGCGCCTGCTCTTGAAGGACAAGCTGTACCGGTTGAACGAGCAGGCGACCCGGGATCCCTACAGCTTCCTCTTCTCGTACTACTTGAAGCCGAAGAACGAAATGTTCTACATGCGCTTCGAAGAGCGTTTCGCGCTTGAGAAAGACGCCAATGCTCAGCTTCCTGGGCCAGAAGCTGTTCGCCAGCTCCACGCTGATCAACGCGAGTTGTGAGAACATCTGCTGCTGCACTTCCGTCGCCCCGGAGCCGTCCAATATCGCCCGTGATTTGTCGGGCGAGGGGTGGGACTTCCTACAGAAAAGCATGACGACCATCTACGTCAACAGCCCTGCACCTCCAGAGCGACGCCCGGCTGGCCGTCTGCAAGATCCGTCAGCACGCTGCGCTACACAGGCACCCGCTGGCAGCCTTTGGCACTGCCACCAACAGCGAGAGCACGAACAGCCTGAGCGTCGCCTACGACGGCAACCGGCTGATTCTGAACAACCTCGAGCTGCGCCAGCAATTCCCCAACGCGGCGGAACCCCGCTGCCCGCCTCCCCGACCAAGCCCTTCAGCGGAGCCAACGCCAGCCGCGTGCTGGGCAACCTGGCAAACAACATCCTGTCTCCTGTCCAACACAACATAAATTAGAAAAGGTGGAGGCCGCAACACGAGGGGCAGGAGGCACAGCACAGGGCGCAAGCCAAAGCTGCCCGGCTGAGACAACAGACGCACCCCACCCAAGCCCCCGCAGCTCACACGCGACGCTGGAAAGGCAGTCCGCCTACGATCGCCTGAAATCGAGCTCCGCGACGAGCCGCAGATGCTCTGGTGGTTCCGCACGTTTTTCCACACGTTACAGCATGAATCCAGCTAATCGCAGAGACATACTGGTGGGGTTTTACCACCAGAATCAAAGAAAAATAAATGCTGGAGCCTGAGACCGAAGCTTCAGGCATACCCCGCGTCACCTGATCAGGAAAACACGAAAAAGAGAACCAAAAACAAGAAAACAACAGACACCAGGACATCACGCAAGGATGCGTGCACGGAGGCCAGAAGCCATAGGACGCGACCATAACGTTAACGGTGAGACATCACAAAGATTCTGGCAGTTCAAGTTTGTTCAAGCTGCTTCTTTCGAGCTTTGCGAGATTTTTCTTTAGCCCAGTGTGCTGCATGGCGCCGTGCGCCAGGCTTCTCATTAAGTTCTTGAGCATCCTTTGCAACAAAGAAAGTGGATCTCGCTAATTTCTTCATATCGGAAATTTCAAGATGGAGGACCGTTCCAAGCTTGTAACCGGCGATCAAGGTCTGCACCACTAGCTCCTGACAAGGGAATTCAGGTCTGGCCACGAATCCTCTGAACTGCTTTTTGCATCCGAACGCATTCCCGGATTTGACATCACCGCGGAGCTGCGTTGAGAGACTCCTTTATGGAAACTACGTACGGCACTTTCAAAGGCTTTCTGCTGCTTTGCCAATTCCAAGGCATTAGAGACACTGCGGAGTTCTGTTCGGACGTCCGATAGACGTATACCTGCCTGGCTGAGACACCAACCTAGGCATTTCCATGCCGGAACTCAAAAGGAAAGAGAGCGTGGGTGCGAGATTCCCGGGTCATTTATTGCAGTCTTAGTTGGCCACTTATTAGCGCTTGCCCACCTACCAAAAGCGGTTCCCCAGGGAAAGTAAACAAGTCTCCTTTCATCCAATTTCGACCAAGACCGGACTCTCCAGTCCGTCAATCTGCTGGCCTGAGTCTGTGGGGCTGAAAGGCAGGCGCCGCCTCAGAGGCCCTTAGTTCGGTAAGGTGAATTTCGTGGTAGAAAAGCAAGGTCTTTGGCCGAGCGCATGTCACATCCTCTGCCATTGTTTGGCAGCTTCTTCTGCAATAGCATTCCCCAGAGCGAAGAATGTCAAGTTTTCATTGGGCTGAGCAAATGTGTCAAGAGCGCAAGATGACGTGGATCGACTCTCACGCAAAGGCGCGCCCCCCGCGCCCCCCGCGCCCCCCGAAACGCCCAAGCGCAGTGGCAGGGCGTGCCCAAAAGTACCAAAAATGGAGCGAAACGGCGCGCGCGGAGGGTGCCGGAACGGCAGTTTCGGAACCCGTTACGAAGACTAGCCGGGGCCGGGGAGCGACAGGGCCAAACCCAGCCCAGGCACGGCCGGGCCGCAGCCACGCCCCGCGCCCCCCGCGCAAGCGCAGGAGCTTTCCGCCTTGGCCCTGGAGACGCCCAACGCACGGCTTCTGGCCAACCACAGAGTCCTCGAGGTGCGACAGATGGGCCGTCCCGTGACGGAGAAGGAGACCTCCCGGCAACCGGACACTTCCCAACCTCCAACAGGCCCTCCAAGCAAGTAGTCTGAGCAGCCGGCGAACTGCACATACCCAATGCTTGAGTTGAAAGCGGGCAATGGGCAAATGTGTCCTTGTTTGTCGGAAACGACTGTCTCCGTTCCCATCTTTCGGCAATTCAAGTTTCGAAACAACGGATTTGCCTTTGCACGCCATCAAAAGAGCCTCAGAGCATGTTTTCTTCCCGCAGCATTGGGCCAACGCCTCCCTGTTCCAATATGCCGGGCTTGGCCAACGCCTCCCTGTTCCAATATGCCGGGCTTGGCCAACGCCTTTCTGTTCCAATATGCCGGCCTGCAGTCTTGAGGTAGATCAAGCAAATGACCTGGCAAGGGGCACGCCCACGAGCACCGGCCAAAAATCTTGCAGTAAACAATATATTGTCCAAAGACAATCCTTTTTGCAAGATGGACCGCGAAACTGTTGCCTGTATTTCTGGGACACTTCTTGTGGAATGAGCACCTGATTGAAGCTCTATGTTGTTTCCGAGCAAGAAGCTTGCAGTTTGGTCGTGTCCCCAATTTACCCCTACCGGCATATACTGTCGTCACGTCGGATCGGCAGTGATCGGGCCTGAGATGCGATGTGCTTTTATTGGCTATCAGGAGCCCACAAGATTGACAGGAGCTGAACTTAAAATCTTTGCATTTCATCGCTCCATCGCTCCATCTGGTGGGCCTTCTTGCACTGTTTCGCCCATGGGCGCCGCATTCCAGTAGCTGAGTGGATGTTGGGTTTTTGCCCAATTTGCTCATTGCTTGCATGCTGCGGAAAACGGGCTGCTCAAGAGCCGCAGGCCGGCCACAGGAGGATGAAGTTGGGTCGAAAGATTGGTAATAGGGGACGGTCCCAGCCTTAGTGGGTGCAGCCGTTTGGAATCTTGGTAGACTTCTTTCATACTGGGTGTTGAATATAACAAGCAGCGAACCACCGGCTTCGAAAGCTGGCAGAAGCGCAGTGGCATGAGCAGAAGCGTAATCTACAAGCACACTAACCTTGCTCTCGGTGAGGGGCAGTGTGGCGGGGACGTAAACATTTCGTTAGGTGAGTGCAATGCATTTACGTTGGGACGCCAAGACTTTGCATATGGGCGCACATCAAACAGAGTACATCGTGATGGACATGTATTTCTACCAAATGTGGTGCAAAACGAGCCCAGCGTCATGGAAGCGCAAGTTCCGGCAGGGCTTGTGATGGGATTGGTAACATATAGTGTCTCAGTGCGACCACAACATGTGCCATAGTTGAGCCCGGTCCACATGTTGACCAATGGTCAAACGTAAGGAACCGTTAGAAGATAGCTTTTGGTTGTTGTTCTCCGGCAAAGGTCTCCAGGTCATAATTGCTCCCATGCACACACACACACACAAAGATAATGGTGCCAATTCCAGATACAAGGGCTAGTTTTGTTTCGATATTTCTGACAAACCATCTCAAAAGGGGTCCTCAAACTCAGCTTCAGGCACTGTCTGGTTTGTGCAGAACAAACACTGGCTTTACTTGAAGCACCTAGGAAGGCATGCGAACTGTTCGGCTCAAGGATGGCCCGGAGACCGCGCGGCGATGAGCAGCTGGTTGCCTTGGCTCGGTCCCGGCGCTGGCGTAGCGCTGCGGCGGTCTTCGAGTGTTCAACCGGAGGTGGCTGGGAGGGCGTGCGAGCCTTCAATGCGCTGCTGCACGCCTTCAAAGGCGGGCGATGGGCCCGGGCCCTGCGGGCCTTGGCCGAGCGCTGGCCGCGCCGGCCTGAGCTGGCCTCGGAGGTGTCGCTGAATTCCGTGCTGGCAGCTCTCGGCAGCGCCGCGGAGTGGAGGCGCGCGGGGAGTTTGCTGGCGGAGATGGGAAGGCAGAGGCTGGAGGCGAGCTCGGTGACTTTCGGGACCATCATTCAAGCAGATGGCAATGGCATGCAATGGCACAGGGCTTTGGAGACCTTGTCCAATCGCATCTCTACTGTCATTTGCTTTAACTCTGCGATTGCTGCATGCGAGCGGGCCACCAGCTGGCACATGGCGGTGGCGACTTTGGCAGTGTTGCCTGAAGTGCGGGTGCTTCCAGACGTCACCACATTGAACTCGGCCATGAGTGCGCTAGCTGCGAGCGAATGGCAGCGTGCAGTTTGTCTTTTCTTCAATATGCCATTCTACGCCATGCAGGCGGATGTGGTTTCGTATGGCTCGACGCTCCGATCGCATTGGCAGGTGGCAGGTCAGCTGGTGAGGCTGATGGCGTGTGCCTTGGTTCGGGGCAACATCATCACCGCCACCTCGGCAGTGAAGGCTTCGTCGGCTCGCTGGGAGGCTGCGGTCCGGGCGTTTGGGGACCTGGCGGGGGTGAGCTTGCAGGCGACCCTGGTGACGTACACCACGCTGGTGGGGGCCCTGCGGAGTCGCTGGAGCATGGGCTTGGCCCTGAAGGAGCAGATGGGCGCAGCCGCGAGTCGCACGGACGCCATCTTCGGGTGCGAGCTGCTGGAGGTGGCCGGTCCCGGTGAGCACAGGTGGCGCCTGGCCCTGGGGGTCTTTGCCGTGATCAAGCCCAACGCCTTCACACGCAGCTCCCTTGCCTCGGCATTTGCGCGCACGGAGAGACCGGGTGAAGGTATGGCAGTCTTTGCATCTTTCCCTTTTACCATGGTGGCTCATGGAGTTGCAACGCATTTGAGCCATGAAGCCTGATGAAGAGAGATGAGTCTGGTCGAAATGGTTTAAGTATTGAGACACCATGGTTCAAACCACAACTTGCTTCATCTAAACTTAATGGTTGACCATTTTCCAGGAGATCTTACAACACCCTGGCCCTTTGTGGACCCCGTGACCTAGGAAGTGGGAAGGAGCCCTGGGCTGCGTCAGCGGTGGCGACCTCGCCACAGCCAATGCCGCCCTCCACGGCTGCGCGCGGAGCGCGCAGTGGTCCCGAGCCGTGGGGTTGGGTGCCGAAACCAGGCGACCTCGGCCTGAAATTTCCTATGGCTCGATGTCACCTCGAAAGGTTTCGCAGTTTGCTTAAATTGAGCACTACAACAACAAACCAGATGCTGCTGGGTTGAGCCGGGGGCGAATGGGGGTGGAGCAGCAGACCAGGCCAAATGGCATCACCTTGAGCACGTTGTCCGATGTGCTCGCGGCAGGCCAGCAGCTTGGCGGGAAGTCCGACGGGGCTCGGGCTGGGGCCATGTTATTTGTGTCGCTTTTGGATGGGGTTTGCAGGATCCCAAGCATGTAGAGGAGGAGTTTACAGGCCCAACACCTGTTGGGGCACTTGGAAGTGGAATTCCAGTATTGCCCTTTTAAGTTATTTTGCCCCGCATTCGGGAGTTGATGCTCTTCATGCCACACTTTCCCAACAAAACAGGGGGAAAAAGGGCAACTCGAACCCAACTGCTTCATTTCCTGGTGCTTGAAGAGTTCCACTTCTTCACTTTTGGTCCCAGCCACCCAACAAGGACAACTCGTAAAGACTTGAAGCTCTTGATTTTCTGTGGGTTTTCTAAGGACCCCCCCCCGCCCAAACCCTCCCTCCGGCCCGATCTCCGTCCCAGGCAGTGGCCGGCGGCTCTGCGGTGGCTGCGCCTCTTGGGCGCGAGGCGGACCTCCGGCGTGGACTTTGCCATCTGCGGCACTGCCTGCATCAGCGCCTGCGAGGCCACCGGGCGCTGGCGGGAGGCCCTGCAGGCGAGGAAAGCGGAGAGGCTGAAGACATGCGGCGTGGTTTTTCTTCTCCCGGCTCTCCTCCATTTTTTGCTTTTTTTGTCAGGGAGTTACAGGGAAATGAAAGGGGCCCGTTTGGTTTTGTCCATATCCCATTAGAGGGTTGCCCTCTGCACCTTAGCAAGTCAAGTGGTGTGTTTGTTTGTGTCTTTGACTCAAGTCCTTGGTTCTTTAGTCAAGAGAGGCTTTTGGACAATGAGGGACAGCATGCAGGAACGTCGACGCAAGCAATTGCTTGGTTTGTTCGGTTTTTGTCAAAACCACAAGGCGGATAGTTCTCACTTGGATTCTGTCACTTTGAAGTTCGGGGTCGTATGCCTGGTGGCAGTTTGGACGGGGCAGCATGCCGGATCGTCACGCACTGTGGTGTAAAAAAAAAGAAAAAAGCCGCTTCTCGCCGCTTGTTTGTTGGTACCCTGACCGGCGGATTGCCGGGCAGGTGCTGGAGTTCCTGGGCACATCGGCAGACTGTGCGGCGGTGAACTGTGCCATCGTGGCCTGTGAGAAGGGGGAGCACTTCAGGCGCACGCACACGCACGCGTAGGAAAGGTGGGGTGAGCCTGGATTCAGGCGCTATGGTTTTCGATTTTGGGAGGTCGTTTGGGGCTGGAGCAGTGCCGAGCATTGGGCTGCCAGCCTCATGTGGGGCTCTTGGAATCTTCAGCAATTTTGGCCCAGCTCAGCGATCGCATGTTGGTTTCGCAGGCCAGGCTGTGAAACAGCGTGCCCGCAGCTCGGTGAGAGGCTTGAAGCTTTGGGCGTGACAAGGGGTGCACAGCCCCTGAGCCGATCGAAGCTGCAAGCAATGGTCACCTCATTTTTGGCGACGGCGCGAGGAACACTTCTCGGGCTGGGTGGGTAAACCTGTTCGCCCGAAGAAGCCTCCGGTCTTTTTCCGGAGGAATCATCACTAGCTTCGTGCGCAGCGAGAGGGTGTGGACAGCGCGGTTTCAGTGCCAGGTCCATGGAAGTGCCGGAGCCATTTTCCAGAGCCGATATGTGGCTGGGCAGAGTGGGCGGTATTTGTTCTAGCCCCGGCAGTGCCATTGTTTTCCCTAGCCGGTTTCAATTCAAGCCTCACATCAGCCACAAGTGCGAGTTTTTTCGTTCAAACATTCCGTGGCCAACCAGAACCTGACAGTGGAGCAACCTTGTCTCAGAGCAAGGGGGCCCGGTGTCTTCCCCGCTTTAGCCGCTGCCATGATGCACACTCTGCGGGTGTGCCAGGCGAGGGGTGGCCAGTAGAGGACTCCTGAGGCTCCCCCGAGGCTCCTGAGGAGGCTTCCGATGTCATTGTGCTTGGCTGGTTTTTGGTTTCGGTGTCTGCGTTTGGTGCTCTTTCACCGAAGACCACTCTGCAAATTGGAGGCCACAGAGCCCTGAATCACGACGCTTCATTTTAGCGACGGCAGGCCTTGTTGCATATGCGGCATTTGGGCCAGTCAACAAAACTTTCCTGAGTGAGCATGACAACGGACATTCTTGCCTTTTGGGGGCATCCTTTGGTCTGGCAACGCAACGAGGTCTTTCTCGTAGTTCCATGCTGGGGCTTTGCCGTGCTTCTGGCAATGCATTACTCCAAATGCAGCTGACTTGTACCATCTGAACGTCTTCAGACTGACAGGTTCCAAAGTGCTCCAAAAGCTTCTCCGAACTGCTTCCAATTTGCCCATGCGGGCCTCAGGCGCGCTTCAGCACAGCCGCCTCGTCCTCGCCGCTGTGCGTGCGCGCTGGGCCCCGGTGGCGACAGGCTGTGAGGCGGGACGGCTCGGTATGAGCATTGCCCCGAAGAGCGTAAAGCTGAAACGAATCCATTCCCAAGTCGCAAATCAGCCCGGGAACTCAAATGTACCCAAAACCTGCCCAAAACGAACTCACCCCCAAACCCCCAAACCAGCCGCAAGCAACTCTGAACATCTACCATGCGCCCTGTCAGCAGTCTTCCCGCAGGCCCTTTTGTGCAGGCGCGCGGATGGGGGGAAGGGGGGCTGGTGGGAGGGGTGGTGATAGCGAGCGAGACAGGGCCATCATAAACATAGACGCGGACAGACCAAGGGATGCGGCTGCCCGTTTCATTCGCCGGGTGTAGGGTAGACTTTAGGTTTTGAGTATGACTTGCTTGGGTGTCTTGGAAATAGACACGGACCCTTCCCATGATCGCTTCCGTTTCGGAACAACAGGAAAGTTAGAAAGCACCCGCGCGACCTGACAGCATCCCAACCTGTCTTTCGAACAGTCTTCACACTTGCAGGATGCCAGTCGTGGTGTGGTTGCGGGGAAGGCGGAGCCTGTACGCAGCATCTCCAGCCTTTTTCATGGCCATGGGCTACCCAATCTATACAATTTGAGATAAAGTAGCCTCGCGCGGGGTGATGCTGGCGACTGATGTGATCAGCTGGTATAGACCAAGCTTTTGTACCTGGGAGTTTTCACGGGGTCGAATGTGGTATGTTGTTGGGCAGGAGCCAGTCCCTAGAAGCACCTCTTGTGCAGAGGACATATTACCGGGAAGTCGCTGGGCAGATACTATTGGTCGGTTGGGTGGGTTGGGTGGATGTGGTTGGCAGTCGGGCAGATTTGAGCGTGCACCTGGCCAGGGGCTGCGCAGAAGAACACTTGTTATGGGTCAGTGCGTGATGGGTGGCCTGGAGGCTGAGGCTACTTTATCTCAAATGTGTGGATTTGGTAGCTCATGGCCATGAAAAAGGCTGCAGATTCTGTGTACAGGCTCTGCCTTCCCCGCGGCATCTGCAAGTTTCAGGCACCGAAAAAAGTCCCGCAGGCGACGAGGACGTGGCGCGGGCCCATGCCTTTGTCCTGGAACGGGGCTACTCCCCCCGAGTGGCGGATGGCATTGTGGATGCGCTGCGCAGTCCAGGCAGGACCCATGGGCCCCAAGTGACCGTTGTGGCCTGACTTTAAGCCAGTATTTGGAGGCTCGTTTTTGAGTTCACAAGGATGTCACTGACCCTACTCTTTCTTGGTTTTGAGGCCCGAAGGGAACCATGACCAGGACTTACCATGCCATGGGTTGTGCCACTGGAAACCCTTGTCACTGCTCACGGAATCTACAAAGAAATGGGAGGTTCCTAGTGCGTCGCGCAGTCAAAAGTTGGGACAATAAAGGCAAGAGAGCGCCCAAATCTCAGGGGCATTCCTGGGGTTGGGGTTCCGGGCTCTGCATTCTTCTGTCTTTTGTCTAGAAGCTTTGCTGTGCTTATTCAATTGGATCATGGATGCCCAATCAGGTCACCTAGTCTCCCAATCAGTTCAGCCTGAAAAGTGAAAGACGGTTGCGAGGGGGAATTCTTGGCACGCGAGGGGCTATTCCATACGTCCACATCGGATCATGTGGGCCAGCTAAAAGTCTCAAAAGATCCCAGCTGATTCAGAGGCGCTTTTAGTCAGGTGATACCTTCAACTTGCAGGTTCTCAGCAGGGAATGAGGGAACGACCCTTAAACGCCATCCAACTGGTGGTTTCAGGTGACCAAAGCCTGGGTTCATTCCCACCTTCCCTACTTCTCGCACCTGACTGCAAGTGAGCTTGAACCCTGCACAGGCACCGGCATCCACGCGGGGCAAGTCTTCGCGGCCGTCCAGGGCCTGGCCGGGCGATGGGAGGCGTGAGCCTGGCCCGGATGGGTTGCAGTGGATTTGTTTCAGGGGTTTTCCTGGAATCAGTTTCTAGCTTAAGCACTTATGGAGGATACTTCTGCTTTTGCCAGGGGAATGTTTCGGTGTCTTGTTTTGGGCAAAGGAAGCTGTCAGGAAGAATTTGGACGACTACTGTCCTTTTTGGGAAGCCGTGCAAGGTCCACTTCCGTGGAAACATGTGGTAGCCCCCCTCAAAACGCCCCATTCAGGCGGAGTTCTGCAAGTCTTTGTCAATCAAAACCACGCGAAGGTGACAAAGCGGGTCTTCGCATTGCCAGGCTCGCCAATCGGCCAGGTAGGTGAAGATGCAGGCCTTCAAGCGTTGGCCAAAAGCGTGGAGCAGGAGAGGGCGCTCGTTTCAAAGGAGGAACATAGGGACCCTTCTAAGACCATTGTCAACACCAAAGAGTATTCTGGGGAACGGCGGGGATGGGGGTGTGGGGGGAGCTTGTTTTACCTATGAAAAGCACAACGGGACTGCATGAAAAAGAGCAAGGGAAGAGGCTAGGGGCGCCTACGTCCGCCTTGAGAGCGTGCTGGATAGAGAGGATCTGGCGGTAGCCCACCAGCCCAGTCGCCCAAAGGTATTGGGGTTGACAAACTAGGAGTTGCTTGTCGCGACGGACTTCCAGAAAGGGGGACTCATCTTCACACGGTCTGTTTGGGTATGTGTCCAGGGCCGAGCATTGTTCCTCAGAGAATGGGCACACGAGCTATCCTTCTCACCAGCCATCGATTCCAAGCCTGACACACAGCCCGCCAGTATATGCACAGCGCCAGTCAGGAGCCACATTTTGTCGAACCCAAACAAATGGAATTTGCACTCCCATTCTCCGCTGCTTATTTTGTTAGGAGCTGAGCGAGCAAGAGGGCAAGACCATGGTGCGTCGGGCGCAAAGAGTTGGTGTTTTTTCCGAATGTGGATCCTGACGCACTTTTGGGTTCCGTGCTAGGCTTGGATGGGGAGATGATGGGTATGAAAGCATTGCTTAACCAATGCTATACTCACCTGGTTTGAGCAATGTAACACCTACCGCGAAGCGTCCCTCCTCAACCCAACCCGAAGCCACTCCGCAAGCAGCGCTTGACCAGTTCTAAAACGCTTAAACCACGCTGAGCGACATCAGTTATCAAGTTCGGGTTCAAATTCTAGTTCCGGCTGGCAGGAGAGGTGAAGGGATCCGTGCAAGTAGTTTTAATCCGTTTGTGGGCTCCTGGAGGTCAAGGTCAAACTGACGCAGAGGGTGAGGTGCTCATGGAATTGTTTCTGTGCCGGGGGGATGCGTTCGAGCTCAGGTTCGAGCTCGAGCGCGGCGCTCTGGTTCAGGTTCCATTCAGTCGAAACTTAATCAAACGAAAGCAAGCCAAGCCAAAGAGCCCAAAAACAAGCAAGGTTGAGTGCTTTTGCACACACCAGTCGCGAAGAAGCCGTAACAAACTCCCCCACCAAAAAGCGACCCCAAACCAGCCGAAAGACTATGCCCACCAATGCCAAGCCGACTACAACTCAGCTGACCAAACAGTTACGCCTAAAGTGATCCTGACTCTCGTTTCAATTGCAGTCTGTTTCAGGATGTGGTCAAGGGTAGATGGGCTCAGCTTATGTTTAGGGCTCTTTTGGGATGGTTTCAGGTTGGCTTGGAGCCAGTAAGGGATTCGTTCAGGATAAAGCGCTGGCTAGTTTATGGAAACCGTCTTCAAGATTGGTTCAAGGGGAATGTTTCGGCGCTTGATTGTGAGGCAGCTTTGGGTTGGTTTATAGTGGATTGAGGGGTTGGGTGAATCAAGAACTTGTTTCGCTGTGGTTCAGGGGACAGTGCGTGATTGCGAGGGCTTAGGCTTGCTCTCGGCATGCTGCTGGGTGAACTTAGTATCCAGGCGAGAAAGCTGAATGTCCAGCTGTGATGAATACCCTCCCTACCCACCCGACTCCCCGGCAAAAGGCCATCATAAAAAGAATGCAACACGGCAAGGATCCACAGTTTCTGGACAGTGAGCCAGTTGGCTCTCTTGTCGTTTGTCTTTTTTGTCTGTCTCTCTCTCTCTCTTTTCCTTGTCTCCGTCTCCTTTCTTTGTTTCTTTCGTTCTTTCTTACTTTCTTTCCGGCTCACGCACTTCGACGGGGCGTTGTTTTGTTTTTGTCGCAGCGGACAGAAAGCCCCCCCCCCCCCCCGGCTCCCGAAGGATCGAGGGATCCCATGGATCGAGGCTTCCGGGTGCAGCCGCCGGACCAGGGCGAGGCCTTCGAGTGTGAGGGCTTCGAGGGCATGTCCTTGAAGGAGCCATGCCAGGTGTTTGTTTGTTGTCCGGGACAAAAAGAGACGAGAGAAGAGGTGGTGTCCCGTTTGGAAGTCCGTGACGGAAGGAAGCCCCAAATGTTGTGATCATGGTGCTGGCACTTTGTTCTCTTGAAAAAGAAATCCGTTTTCCATTTGGATGGCGGCAAGAGCGTGGCTGGCATCGGCCCCAGATTGCGACTTCCGTTCGCAGCTTCTGAGCGTCAAGCTTCCCACAAGCCGGGAGCCGGTGACATCAGACGGCCGCGGGCTGAGGTGAATAGATGGCGTCAAGGGCAATAACCACGTGCCCGTGCAGTACGTGCACCAAGTATCAACCCGGATAGCCCTTCTCTGCCCTATCCATAGGCAGACAACACCAGTTCACAGGGAATAGCCAATGTGTACATATATGTACATATACATTATATAATAAGTTATATATGATATGATTAGGTGCGGGCATGTCCCCTACAAATACGTCGTCATTTCCGTTGACGGCCAAGTGGCTGGCGGGTCTTTTTGGTTTTGTGGCCCTCTTGCCTGCGGCCTCGGCGGTTCGTTGTTTAACTCTCGTTTTCGATCTCGTGGAACATGGCTAACTGGGGGTTTGTTAGTCCTGGGTTGCCATCAAGTTAGGAGAGGTTTTCAATTTTGCTGGGGGTTCAAAGACAAAAGGCGGCTACTTCCTACTGCCATCCTAGTGGCGATGTTTCAAAGTTCCTTCTGTCTCAGATGCCAGCGGGCCATTGCTTCACTTCTTGTGTCTGGCGCATGAAGAGGCTGTTTGCCATGGCTGCAGGGTGAAGATCAGGATTTTGGCTCATGAAACTCGGCATTGGCGTCGTGGGACTTGGGAACCATCTCTGCGCAGAGCGCCTGCATTGGCTGATAGTTAGATGCCCATTTGGAGGTTCGCACACTTGCATCAAGCAATGAAAAAGGACCGCATGTGGCTGGTGGTGATGCAAGATTGGGGGACACTTGGTTTTCCTTTAAGAGCCACCCACAAAAAGAAACCAGTCACCACCCGCCCACCCACCCACCCACCCCACCCACCCACCCGCCCGCCCGCCCGCCCACCCGCACGCACGCACACACACACACACAAGCACAAATACAAAGACAAATCCAGGGTGGAGTGGAGTGGTCTGGGACACCTCTCCATCCGATCGGCCAGATCTCCGGTCGCGATGTCTTCCGCCGTGGGCGACGAGATGGAGTTGCGGCGCCGCAAGGCGACCGGCGCGTTCGTCGTTTCGCGCGTGATGCGTTCGAGGCCGCGCAAGGCACGCCTTGGCAAGGCGACGGCCTGTCTCCAGAAGCTGTCTGCCTCACCAGATTGTTTGTTTGCCCCCTAAGAGCATGGATTCGGTGTTTAGGGCTCCCAGGCGGGGCTTGGGCAAGCGATTCGGAGATCCGCATCACTGAAATGCTGTTGCAGTGATATCTCATGGTTTTAGGCAGGGGACTGATGAAACTGAGGTGCATGAGAGAGAAAGGAGACGTTAGAGTTTTGGTTTTCTGCTTTATCGATTTCCCGCCTTCCGTCGAGGTGCAGCAAGATTCGGACCAAAAGAAGAGGGAAGAGGCCATGGAGGGCTCTGTCGAAGTGAGTGTCCTGGCATCCGCGCAAATGGCTTTTCAGTCTGCTTTTGGTGAGCAACTGACAATATTCTGAATTAACGGCAGTCTACTGTGGGTTTGGGGGGGAGGGCTCACATTTCCCGCAGGAACTAGGCAGACCGCACAAATCGTGCATGTCCTATTGGGGGACAACGCATATTGTCCGTAGGTCAGATGCATGCATGGCTCCGAATAGCAGAAGTGTTGCCACATGGATCTTGATCACTTGATCGCACACCTGTTCTGGAACTGGTAGGCGCTGGAACATTTTGATTGTAGAGGTTGGCCTCGTTTCCCACATTATTCCGTTGGTGCTGGTTCTCGGTTTGGGGCTGGAGAGGTACTTCTCAGAGTCTTGAATCAGGTGTCCAAACTTCAAGCAGTTTTACACATCTTTAGCACGTGTTGCGTGCCAGGATTCAGGAACAACTCCTCAGGTTCTTAAATAGCCGTGAAGTCTTTCAAACAACTTTGATTTTTTTGACATGCTGACTGCGGCAAGGGTTAAATGGCTGCTCCATTAGCCATTTTAGATGAAAGTTCGAGCTCACGGGAACCAGTTGTTTAGACTACACTTCAGATCAAATTTCCGACAAGCATCGCACGCATTTTCCCAATGAAAAAAAGGCAGTGGATCGGAAATCAAGGCACCGTTTGCACGCCGATTCCTTGAAGCCGCCCTCCAACCCAGCTGTCTGAAGCAAGCTTAGCCCTGTTCATATAGACAGCTTGGGAGCAATATCCTATTTTCCCATCGAACGGGACACTATAGTATGCAATAATTTCGTAACTCCAATCTAGCTTGCTCGTTGCACAGCCTTGGCAATTCAGCAGCTTTCCAATAGCCATCAGCTGTCAACTGGAAGTTTATGAAACTGAGCAGTTCTCATTCATGCCAGACTTGAATATGACGCGAACGCCCCGCTTGTTTCATCATCAATGTGTTTGACTAATCTCACTTTGCGCAGGTGCATCATCCCATTGCATTTGTTCAGCTCTTTTGAGAGGTTTTCTTAGCTCAGCACCTGTGCATCCATTGTTTCAATCAAAAAGGAGGATCTTATTATATATTTTCGTTGAGACATTCCTCTCAATATTGGTACAACCTACATACTAGGCAGGCCTCTGTTCATACGCAACGCATATCAAAGTTAATGCCTTTCATCTCCAACGAAAGCTTGACTTGCCCCAGAGACAGCCAGCTACAAACACGAATCCACTGTTGCTTCTCGCCACCAGGAACATGAGTCAGAACTTGTTTCTACAGTTGCAGGGATTTCTAGCCAAGGAGTCATGACCATGAATCGCAAAAACACAAGCATGCCCGTAGCATTCTGCGGAAATCACATGTATATGTGGTACTGTTGCACTTGTCTCTCTTTCTCTCTCTCTCTCTGTCATGGTTGAGCAGGGTCTCAAGGAGTTCCTATGAAAGCCACAAATGCAGCACAGAACAACATTGCCAAGCGACCTGAAGTCTCGCACGTCGACAGTCCGCGCAAATCCCCCGGGAAGGCAGGGGGCGAAGAGGACGAGGATGTCTTGGACCAGGAATATGCCGCTTGGCTGCGGGCTCTGAAGGGGTTCTCAGTTGCCCAAAGCGAATCGACCTTTTGACCTTTTGGTTTCTCCTTTTCGGTCCATGTTTAGTTATGGCCCCAAATGGTTTTCCCTTTTGTTTCCGTGTCCTTTGGGCAAGTGAGGGCTCAAGCGACTGCGGAAAACCCGGAGGGTCGAATCGAACTGGTTTCCTCGCCGCTTTTGAAAAGGAGTCTGTGCCGCAAGGGCTTCGCAGTCTTCGCACGACACATACGACGTGACATACGAGGTCCAAAGGCTAGAGAGCTGCCACATATTTAGATTGCAGCATGCTGGTGCTGAGTGACTGAGAATCAGGCCGGTTATTTGGGCATTTATGCACGCTCACGCGTGCAACAACGGTTGATGCCCTCGCTGTAATATGATTTACATGTTGATTGCTCGGGTCATGGCCTGGCTCCCGACATCAGGGGGCTTTTTACGGGAAATGCTCAAGCAGCCGGTCCCTGTGAGCAGAGACACCCTATCATTCGGTTTTGCCAAATGAAGACTGCCCGAAGAAAAGGTGTTGCAACTATATGTATGTATATATATGTATATATATATATATATATATATATGCAAGGCCACGCTTCCGACGGTCTCGAAAACGCAGGCGTGTTTGTGTCAACAGTACCGCAGTGGGTTTTCTTTGCCTGGGGCCGGGCATTCGTTTCCTTATGCGGAACCCCTGGGGTAGATTTTGGCCGGCCAAAAGGCGTCCTTCTTTACCAGCTGATTTGGCTGTGGCTAAAAAAACCGGTGCACAAAATGGCCCCCTGGTAAATGGAGCCAAAGACCAAAACCTGCGTAACCCTAGCTCTTAAATTTTGAGCCACACCCATTTGGAGGATCCCTTGTTAAAGCAGGTGGTTTTTGCATGGTATTTGTTGAACCCCATGTCCAGGTGGAGTATTTCAGGAAGAAGTACGGCGAGAATCCGCGCTCGGACATCCTGGGGATCGATGGCTGCGCGCTCTTCGTGCTCATCTACATCGTGGCCGCGGACTTTGTGCGAGATCCCCCGTGTCTTTTGTGCTCATTCCCTACGGGGTCGAACAAACACGAAGAGTTGCAATGGAAGCAAACACGAATATCTGCAAATGTGTGTTGGTGTCCTTTTGGGATAACTAAACGTGTGCTATTTAGTATCTCAAACAGGGACATCTCAAACATGGCTTGTATTTGGTGTGACATCAACCCCCTTACACCTTTTGGAGACAAATGGCTTTTCCATCAACCCAACAAAAGGGTTGGACCTTTTGCTTGGGGAAGAGCAAGCCAGTCATCTAGGCTGTGTCAAAGTCTCCATTTGGTCTCCCTTCAACACCACCGCCACCAAAAGGGGCACCCCGAAAACAACATCGGCACTTGAAAGAACCGCCCGTTTCAGCCGATGCCCATGTCAGCCGATTTGCTGAGGTGGCCGGCGTGATCTTCACCATCATCTTCCTGTCCATGTATGCGAGGCAGGGGGGGGTTCTTCAGGAGAGACACGCGGAGCTAAGGAGGCCGACCTCTTCCCCTAGACCCCACAGAAACGCTCTCACCTCTGAGCATCGGTGTGGGCCTTGGGGTTGTCCAGACCATGGCTTTTCCAAAGCCCCTCTGGTTTTGGTGCCCTTTGATGGGCCTCTATGATTTCTCTGAGTGCTTAATCAATACCCGGGGACCCTCCTTGTCCCTTTCCCTTCACAGAAGCACCATGGGTTCTTCCGCTTCCGGAAAAAAAACCCCACGTGTATCGCCTTGGAAGCGCGCCAGGCATCGGGACTTCTTCCAAAAGATGCCAGGCTTGAAATGACGCCGAAGGGCTGGGTTTGGGAGCGACAGCTGCGGGGGTCTGAGGGTCTTTGACAAGAAACTCCTGATATTTTACTTGAGTCCTGACTTCTGTGGTGTATCATGCTGTGTCTTTTCTGCACTGGTCGATCCCCGTGGAAATTCAGGCCAAAGTCGTTTGGCCCCAGCCGTTGTATCACTGATAGGTTTCAACCATAGCCATTGATCCCATGCCGTTTCGTCCCTGGGCGACGTGGCCACGCCACCATGCCACCATGCCTCGCCTAGCCAAGCGTCGAAAACGCGGCCGTGCTGGACGTCTTGCCAGGTGAGCAATGGACAATGCTGCTGGGGTATCAGGTTTGATGGTCCCCATATCGGCGCAGAAGGGGGATTGAATTTTTCATGGTACCTGGTACCACATGGCTGTGCATGTTTGAATTAGTTTCTTGTTGGCTGCCTTTTGAGTTACCCTAAATCCATGTGCAATGCCGTCAAAACCCGGTTCCTTGGGCTTCGTAGGGCACCCCTTGAGGAATCTAGACCCACAGAGCGGAGGGAGAGTCCCATTTTGCTATGCCTATTACGGCTCGTGGATTGGTCAAAATTCGGAGACCCCTGAAAATGGCTGCTTTCCTTTTTGTTTGTTTAGAATGAAGCAACAGGAAGCTCCTGAAAAATATCACATCTATGGTATCAGGCGCGGAAACACACGCGTGCAAACCCAATCTTTCATGGTTCCACGCTCAGAATGTGCGCACAGGACATTGCCGAGTTTGGGCGTGGCCGGGGTGCCGATGTGCTGAAGGAGCTGATGGTTTTCGGGGCTTCGCGCAAAGGGGGCTCGGTTTGGCACGGCCGTCGGTCTCATGCCATTCACTCCGAAAGCGAGTGCCTGGATTTTCTCGTCCCCGGCTTTTTGTCGTCCAAGTCCACGTTGGTCGAGTTTTTAGTGTGAGTGTCATCTCGCATCCCCGACGGTGGTTCCGGGTGCCCCCGGTCATGTCCTTGGTTTCCTTTTGATTTCCTCATCCCGACCTCGGCTTTCATTTGGCTTTAGGAGTACATCGAGTGCGCCTGCAGCGGCGTGATGGCCTGCTCCACCTGCCACGTGTACGTGGCCGTGGCCCTGGGCGGTGGACACTTTTCCCTTCTGGGGGGGGATCCAAACGGGTTCCCGTGGCAACATGACACCTGACTTGAGGATGTTGCGAGTTTCATGTCACGTCCCCCTTGAGGGTAATGGACACGGATTCTTGTTCTCTCTCTTTCGGACGACAATTTAAAGTGAGTTTCCTTTTCCGGTGTATCGTCTCGCCGGGACAGGACCCGCTTTTAAGCAATCATGGAAGTGGATGGGGCTCCGCAAAAGACAGATCGTCTTCCACCCCCTGAGTCAGCTTCCATGATCTGAGGGAGGATCAATTGTTGCTTTTGGACTCTTTGGATTTCATGTGCGCCACAGGGGCCTGGCCACGTATCAGGGTGCGAGGTGGTCCAGGTTTCTTGTCGTGTGTGGGGCAGTTTGTGAGTGGCGGTAACCCGCCTTAGCATATATATATATAGAACAATATGTAGAAAAGAGTCCTCGTGGAACAAGGTAGGGGAAGAAGTGAATCTCAAAGAGGCCTGGAAGCCAATGTAAGGAATGACGCGATGATGGCACTCAGAGCAAACAAACCGATGTTTTCATCTAGAAAGCTTGAATAACGCCAACTTTTAAAGCAGCTAGGGATCCGGACCTGTTGATAGAGTCAGCAGATCAGATTGCAGCTGAACATGTGCCCATCGTTTGATCTTTTGTGAATCATTCACGGAACGCATGAGGTGAGCACAAGCGCCAACTTGGAACTCTGTGAGTTGAAGGGCTAAAACATTTTGAGTTCGGGACCCCGAACTCACCCTTCCAGTCCATTTTGTCAGTGCCATGTCGTTTCCCTGCTGGCATCGAAGGTCTGAAAGGTGGAAAAGGGGAGTGGCCCTTTGCAAACGCACTACCTGAGGAAGTGCCTATGCTTCCATTTGAGGCGACTTTGCATTTTGCCTCAGTGGTCATGACGGTGGCAAGAGGCGCCTTCAGCAATAGCATGGGTATGTCTTCGAGATCCGTGGGCTGCGCTTTTCGGCAGGTCGTGTTGTTCAACTGAATGATGAGTTGATTCTTTCCTCACAGATCCTTTTGAAGGATATCCACCATACAACCCTGGCATGGAGTGAATGGAGGCAATTGGGTCGTGGTTCCTTTCTCATGTCCAGCATGTCCAGTTCTTTTTTGTTGCTTTACACAACCAACACGTTTGCGCCATCCCACTTTGGGTCGCAGACATTTTAGAGTCCTTCGGGTTGCGATGCACCCGTTTTTGGCGCCGAGGATGAGAAACACTTCCAGACCGCAGGCTTGGACGCTTGAAGAAACATGTCATTTGCGGGGCGTGGAACCCTGTGAGTGCTTCGCCAAAGCATTGCTTAGCGTTCCCGCATTGAAAGGAAATCAAGTGCCGCGATGGCTGCTTTTGTGCCAGTTGCCCCATTGGCCCTAAACAAGCACAGGAAACGGGTGTTTCCAATAGGGCGCAAGATGGGGGGTGGTTTGCTTGATTTTCGCCATGAATCCCATCCTAAAGGGATTTGCTGCTTCAGGAACCTCCCAGCGTGATGAACCGCTTGACCGTTGACGTGGTTTCCTGGATGCACCCTTGAAAGAAATGGCTTGAGAACATCGGCCGGGGGTTCAATGGCAAGCGGTTCGTAGGGGCCCCACTGAGACGGGCACAGAGTTTGGGGCTTCCGCACTTGGTTTGCCCTTCTTTCTCACCTTGTCCCCGTTGCAAGCAAGCGTTGGGATTGAAAGGTGCTCCTCTTGAATTTGATCGGTTTGGAGCGTGGGGCACTTGCTAAGAGATCCCCTCCCAAAACGAAATGACTTTAGCCACGAGGATATTTGCTCCAAGCATCGTGGGCCCGGTTGAGTTGACGAGGATGAATGAGTGAACACCTGTCTTGGGGTCGGACCAAATCCAGTTGCCAGCTGAATTGCGAGACATGCCTTCAGCCGAAGCATGGCCCCGCCATTTTGTCGCTTCAGAGAAGCTGCAAACAGATCATGAGACCTTTGGAGTGACCCTGCCATGGCCTTTTCGACAGCAAGTCTTTCGGTGGGGCCTTGTCTTGCGACCGTTGAGCAGGCGAGCCGGAGGATGCGGAGCAGGCGCGATTTTTCGGAGTCAGGCGCGGAGAGGTGTCAAAATTCGGGATCAGTCCTCCAGCTGGCTGGTTTTCTTTCGGTTTCTCTTTCAAACCATGAAACCCATCCAAAAAGGGGTTCCTTTCCCATTTTCGGACAGACCCGCATTGCAGGGTAGCCGCATTCGAAAGGCTGGTGCTTGTGGTGATGCACACCCACTCCGCTTCGGGATCCGCCCCCAACCCACTCAGCTGCATTTGATGAGCTGGTCCCAGTTGTTCAGTGGCACCCTTTGTCCCTTTTTGTTTAGCGGGTTTCTCCACTGAGAATGGTCTACCCCAAGAAGGGCTCCCTTTTTCCACCAGGTCAGGTGAACCTCAGTCGTCACATGCCCTTTGAGTGGTTAAGACACACCACCTTCTAGTAAGGCGTTGATTGAGCTTTCCTGGGGACTTGCTATGGCTTTGGTGGCATTCCTGGCTCACATGCAACGCATGAGACGCAATGAGCTCGAGCACAGGCATGTCCAATTCCCTCGTGGCGTGCGTTCGCTTGCTAGATGGCACGGATGTGATGACGACGGCGGAGTATTCCCAGTGTCGGGACGAGCTCTGTGGACAAGAAGATGCGGATTGTTTCTTGAACGAGTTGCGACGCCACGTCGCCAAGAGATTTCCAATTGTCCATTAGTACACCGCTTATTTTGTTTGGTTTGTATTGCTTCAAGATCAACCAGCAGCAACAAATCAAAGGCTGAACTGATCATATAGCAAGACAGGGCGGATGGGAGTTAAACAAACGTGGCACGTTGCGCTGTCCTTTCTTTGCATGGCCACTGACGAAGTAAGGATTACAGTTGCCGAATTTCAGGCAGCTCGCGCTGGTTGGCGACCTAGGCATGTTGGAGCCAGGCAGTCCGTGGGAGAATGCTGAGTGCTTGACGGCCGTGAAGCGGCAATATGTTGAAGCTGCGGCAGGTGAAGCCGACGGTCTGGCGACTTGCACTGACTTGCTGCAAGCGGCAGACAGAGGCGACGCACAACAAGTGATACAGCTGTTGGAGAAGCCTCATGATCCCAATGCTGCTGACAGACACAGCCATGTGACACCTCTGCTTAATGCGTCTGCAAACGGCCATCAGGCAGTTGTGCAGTGCCTGCTGGATGCTGGTGCTGACAAGGAGAAGGCAGACCACGAGGGCGCCACACCATTGCATCTTGCTGCCTTGCAGGGCCATCAGGCAGTTGCGCAGCGCTTGCTGGATGCCGGTGCTAACAAAGAGAAGGTGACCAACAAGGGCTTTACACCATTGCATCTTGCTGCCTTGCAGGGCCGTGCTGCAGTTGTGCAGTGCCTGCTGGATGCTGGTGCTGACAAGGAGAACGCATACCCCAACGGCGCCACGCCATTGCATCTTGCTGCTGCGCAGGGCCATCAGGCAGTTTTGCAGTGCTTGCTGGGTGCCGGCGCTGACAAAGAGAAGGCAGACCACGAGGGCGCCACGCCATTGCATCTTGCTGCCTTGCAGGGCCATCAGGCAGTTTTGCAGTGCTTGCTGGATGCCGGCGCTGACAAGGAGAAGGCAGACCACGACGGCTCCACGCCATTGCATCTTGCTGCTTTGGAGGGCCATCAGGCAGTTGCACAGTGCTTGCTGGGTGCCGGTGCTGACAAGGAGAAGGCAAACCCCAACGGCGCCACGCCATTGCATCTTGCTGCTTTGGAGGGCCATCAGGCAGTTGCACAGTGCTTGCTGGGTGCCGGTGCTGACAAGCAGAAGGCAGACCACGAGGGCTCCACGCCATTGCATCTTGCTGCCTTGCAGGGCCGTCCTGCAGTTGTGCAGTGCCTGCTGGATGCTGGTGCTGACAAGGAGAACGCATACCCCAACGGCGCCACGCCATTGCATCTTGCTGCTTTGCAGGGCCATCAGGCAGTTGCACAGTGCTTGCTGGGTGCCGGTGCTGACAAGGAGAAGGCAAACCACGAGGGCGCCAAGCCATTGCATCTTGCTGCTTTGGAGGGCCATCAGGCAGTTGCACAGTGCTTGCTGGGTGCCGGTGCTGACAAGGAGAAGGCAAACCACGAGGGCGCCACGCCATTGCATCTTGCTGCCTTGCGGGGCCATCAGGCAGTTTTGCAGTGCTTTCTGGATGCCGGTGCTGACAAAGAGAAGGTGACCAACAAGGGCTCTACGCCCTTGTGTCTTGCTGCCTTGCAGGGCCATCAGGCAGTTGTGCTGTGCTTGCTGGATCCCGGCGCTGACAAGGAGAAGGCGGACCACGACAACGCCACGCCATTGCATCTTGCTGCTTTGCAGGGCCATCAGGCAGTCGTGCAGTGCTTGCTGGATGCTGGCGCTGACAAGGAGAAGGCAGACCACGAGGGTGGCACGCCATTGCATCTTGCTGCTGGGCAGGGCCATCAGGCAGTTGTGCTGTGCCTGCTGGATGCTGGTGCTGACAAGGAGAAGGCAGACCACGAGGGCGCCACGCCATTGCATCTTGCTGCCTTGCAGGGCCATCAGGCAGTTTTGCAGTGCTTGCTGGATGCCAGCGCTGACAAAGAGAAGGCAGACCACGAGGGCTCCACGCCATTGCATCTTGCTGCCTTGCAGGGCCGTCCTGCAGTTGTGCAGTGCCTGCTGGATGCTGGTGCTGACAAGGAGAACGCATACCCCAACGGCGCCACGCCATTGCATCTTGCTGCTTTGCAGGGCCATCAGGCAGTTGCACAGTGCTTGCTGGGTGCCGGCGCTGACAAGGAGAAGGCAAACCACGAGGGCGCCACGCCATTGCATCTTGCTGCCTTGCAGGGCCATCCGGTAGTTGCGCAGTGCTTGCTGGATGCCGGCGCTGACAAGGAGAAGGCAGACCACGAGGGCGCCACACCATTGCATCTTGCTGCCTTGCAGGGCCATCAGGCAGTTGTGCAGCGCTTGCTGGATGCCGGTGCTAACAAAGAGAAGGTGACCAACAAGGGCTTTACACCAGTGCATCTTGCTTCTTTGCAGGGCCTGCAGGCAGTTGTGCAGTGCTTGGATGCCAGTGCCGGTAAGAGAAGGCGAACAGCATGATCGCCACACCATCGCAGCTTTCTGCAGGTAGGGTCATGATGGAGTTGAGCAGTGCTTGCTACTGGCTGCTGCTGACAAAAGGATAGCAGACAACAAATGGTGCAACTGCGTGATTTCGGTGTCGCTGTAAAACACAGTGAGTTCAAGTGAAGCGTGTTCCCTTGCAACATTCTGGGAATCAATCATCATTACCCGAGCCAATTCAACAAATGCGTGTCGTTCGTTTGTTTCCCTCTAGAGAGCAACCAATCGGATGGGAGTGCCCTTCGCCGAGCAACACTCACCAAGCTGCCTCATTTGTGGCGAGATTACCTGCGGGTAAATCGAGCTTACTGTGATGTAGGTCCTTGACTTGATCCTTTATTTGAGGTGTTAGAAGTATTGTAAACAATCGTAGGAACCAAAATGGCCCGAAGGCCTGTGGGGATGTGGTAAATCGGAACTCTTGCTCCACGTCAAGACTCTGGACCCTTAGGGTATGGTAAACTCACTGCCTGAGTTCCTTGACTTTCAAAAGCTTTTTGGAAGACCATTTGAGTGGTAAAAAACCAGTTGGGACTTCTTTTGGGCAATCAAGTCAAGGCAGGCACCTTGCCTCCAGTCGCAAGATCACAGCTCGAAACGCCTGTTCCTCTTCACTTGCTCCATGGAGCAATACCCACTCGAAGAGGATCTCTGTTTTCCAGAGGGAGCAGAAGAAAGCGGGAGCTGGGGCTAGCTTTTGCCAGCATCTTCAGAGAATCTGAAAGTCGCCTTCAAGTATCAGAATCAGGTCCGGCCTGCACCCAGGTCTGGCCTTCGGAGTTCAGGATGCCGCATGTGGCTCAAGTGCTTGACCAAATTGCCCGGTTGATGCTTCTTGTTCAGGACAGGAGTGACCTGTATGGCGCGAACTCATGGTGCCGTGTTTGCTGAGCACCCTTCGGTCACCCCGGCAGCTCTTTCTGACTTCCGTTCGCGTGTGCAGGTTTTGGCGAGTGGAGCCACCACTCCGTACATGCATCCATGAACAAGAAATAAGGAAGTGTTTGCAATCAGTGCCCGACATGAGGTTCAACATACGTTTGTTGTTCCAATGCGCGCTGTTGGTAGTTATAGTGACCGGTTTTGGTTCAACCGCTTTCTGGGTGCTCTTTGGATGTAGTTGTTGGATCCAATATGTTCACGGGCGAGATCGAAAAGACGAGGAGCCGGCCCAGCTTTTTTTTTGGGCGCGTGTTGCAAGAGCAGCCACCCGTGATTTTTCCAAGACACGTTCGAGCAGTTCCTGGCCAAACAAATGTCTTCTTTCAGGAACCGGAGCGAGCGCAAGCCTTAAACGATCAACTGATTGGGGCTCCATGGCGCACCGTTGCAAACCAGGCCTCTCTCGGGTTTAACCTAGTCGCATGCGTTTTGTGTCTTGGGCTGCAGCCCCTCAGGGCGCCGGATCGCGGCGCAAACTTCACGGCAGGACATGCTGGAGCTGGCCTTTGAGCCCCGAGAGACCTCTCGGCTGGGGTGTCAGCTCAGACTCCGGCGGGGCCCTTTGGGAAGTTTGGGCGGCGAAGGGGCAGATGGGTGTGGAACAGGGCGCGTGCGTGTTTTTGGTCTCTATTTCCGGCCTTCAGCTTCTTTTTTTTCCACGGACCAGGTGTGGGGCCAAACCATTGTGATAGTCCAAGAGCTCGGCAAAAACAACTAGCAGTTTGGCGGACAACAAAGTAGAGCCTGCACACGTTGTTCCAAATTGGCTGCTGACTATGCCACTTTCCCGTTCCTGCGTCTCGAGCCAAGGAACTATCAAGCCCAAAGCTGGTGAGAGGTTTTCAGTCGAGCTGATCGGCCTAACCGTGAAGAGTGGATGTGTTGATTCGAACAATCCGCTGCAAATGAGTATTTCCAAAAATGAGGGTTCCACAAAAGATTTGGTTTCATTTGGCAGGCCTTCCAACAGCATTCAAAAGAGGGTTCCGAATTCTAGGATACAGCCAGAGGCGAAATGAGTTGCGGAATGGCATCCGCCACTGTGATTGGCGCGAAACAAAGCACCTTGCCATGGGTCAATTGCACGGAAGCCGCCCAAAACGATTCGCAGAGTCTGACTGGGGACCGGGGGCAGAGGTCGGCTTCATCTCGTGACCGATGTTTGGTTTGCTTTCTCAAGCAGCTTGTGGTTTGTCAACGGCCATTGGAGCAGTCGGCCACCCCCAGGCCAGATCTGGCGGGCATGACGGTGACCATCCCGGGCGGGGCGAACAATCTGCTGGCGCCTCAAACCAATCAACGGCCCGGAAGTTGCCCGCAGGGACTTTGTATTTCCGGGCACAACAAGGCATTCCTGATTGGATCGAACCCAATATGCGGATGAACAAGTCGATCCTTGGCCTTTGGTGAAAAGCCGTGCAAAAATTGTTTCCGAGTATTCCAGCCTGGCGTTCCGAATGAACCCCAGCCAATCCCAAGCTTAAAAGCAATCCTGCTCTGTCCCAGTTTGCCCAACCTGAACTTGAGCCCAAAACCCACCCGAAATCAATCCCGAGCAAAGCAAAAGCCACATAAGCTTAGTCCAGAACTCAGTCCAAGTCTGCCCTGAACCTAAGTGGTGTCAAAGCGCATGCTGGGCGGACATGTGGCCGTCAGAAAATGCAGTGAAACACACTGAACCGCAAATATCTGACACGCAAAACATTTGAGATGCAAACATCCGGATATAAAACGGTGTAGTCACAAGCGACCGCTCTTGTCATCGGCTGCAAAGAGGAAAATCGGGCCCTTGTGGCATCTGTGAGGATGGAAAAAGGACGAGAGAGCACAGGAAGAACACGGGAAGAGGACGGGAAAAGCACGAGAAGAGCTCGGGAAAAGGACATGACATATGTATGAAGGGTGCCCAAAAAGCAAGCGGCCTTCCAGCGACGCAAGAAGCAAGAGGACAGACACCAATCCCTGCATACTGCATGTTTGAAGCCCCTCAAAAAGAGTCTTGCCGAACCACACTGTGGAGAGTCGAGGCCCTTGTTTTTTGTTTTTGCGGAGCCGCCTCAAAGCAAACAAGGGCAAGTCAGTGTGCCAAAAAAAAGCGCTTTGTGGCAACTGGACGATGAATTCGCGTCCGCAAAAAACCCGTTCGTGGTACGTTCTGCGTCTCGTTTCTAAGGCCTCAACATTTGGCTATTTACACCTCCGAACAAGAAGCAGCAAGAAAACCGGCCCAAATTCAGAATGACCTGTTCCTGAATCTACACACCCTTGCATGGGAAAGCACGCTGAAGCCGTGCGTTGAAAAAGCGCAACAAATGCGATGAACGGCAGCTATGCTGAAACGCGCCGGCCGGAACCACTTGGCCCTGAACCAAAGCACACCTCAAACCAACCTCAACTCAAGCCCCCTCCCAATGTTCAAGGGACTCGCCCCCGGCGCTGGCTTGCGGCCCACCCCCAAATGACTTGCCGTCGAGGTTCGACCACATCCCCTTCGAGTGAGCATGCAGTCCGCAGCCAGCAGTCTGCGCCGCCGATTTGCTTCAAAGAGCTGAGCGCGCGGAGTTGAATCTGCCATTTGTTGTCCAAGGTGACATGTGTGCTGCCGTGGTTGAGCGTCTTTTGAATCTTTTCGAGGGTTGGTCGAAGCTATCACGGTCGGGGCAGGCTCACCCTGTACCTTTGTTCATCTGTGGACCCCTGAAGATGTCTTTTTGGACTAGGTAAGATGACTTCTCAAAGGAGTCAGGTGCAGCAACGGGCCAATCCCCGAACCCAGTTCGACGTATCGGTTCTATGGGGCTCTTCTCGAACGGTCAGATGTGGAGGTGGCTTTCAATGTGGCCGAAAGCTCCCAGACTGCAAGGTGAAGAGTCATGTTTGTGTTTTTACAGGCGGACGGGGAATATCCCAAAGAGTAGGGATTCATATTCCCAAGTCTTCAATACGTGTGCCAATGTGAACTTGGAGCACGCAGGTACGCGACCGGCGGCTGCCGTGGCAAATATTTGGAATCGCTGGAGCATGAGCCATAGTCAAAACACGAGTAAGTGAATCAGGTTAAGGTGTAGCCGCCATCTTTTCAGCTCTCTCGTTGTTTGGCTGCACAATCCAGGATAAGCAGCTGACAATACCTACCGGTGTGTCAAGAACGTAGGGGGTTGCCCATACTTCGGGGGCAGAGGGGTTGGAACCTAAGTTTGCCATTTGGCAGATCTTTTGTGTGCAGCTCGGATGATGCTGGCCGCTTTCATCCGTTGTTGTGCATTCCCAGCCCTGCAGGTGGCATTTGTTCGTGGCGGGTTCAGATACGCAGTGTCCTGACCCTGTTCTTAACGCTCACGCCACAGGTTTTGCATTGCATGGCTTGGTTTGTGACGATTTTGCACGGACGCCCTGGGAGCCAAACACGGTAGTCCGAGAAGTAGAGATCGAAGAAGTGTCGGGGCAAGTCGACGCACGCCGCATGCCGCTGCCCAGAACGGAGCCGCTGTCCATTCGGTTGTGCAATTCCCCCCGCATCACCCCCCCACCTCTGCAGAAACCGCGGTTGCTTGCTTCAGCTGATACCCCTTGTACACTCGCGAAAGCAAGATCAAGAAATGACCAACCAAGCTCAGCCACTTGTCGCACGAAGGGCCAGCAGCAGCTTCGCAAGGGTGCTTCCAAGAATAGGGAACCCCCTGAGAGTTGCATCGGCCACTTACGCAGTAGGACCCGAGTGCCGCGTACATGTTTTGCCATGGTTGATCCATGGCGTTGGCCCCGGAGCACTGGACGGTTTAGGGAACCACCTCCATTTTGGGATGGGGTTTGAAAGGGAAACACAGGTCAACCCACCAGAATAAGCGGGCTTTACTCCCCATGGTTTTTTGCTTCAGCACCCTACCCTCCCGCCTGTCCGGTGAGTTTCTCAGCGCATGTGCGCCTCGAGCTCGAGCTTGCGAATCGCGGCTCGCGCTAGGTCACTACTGAGCCCGAGCCACCTCGAAATGCCCCTGGACCCGGACTCCGAAGCGCCAGTCCCAGACGGAATTATCCGGGTACACGGATACGAAGCTAAAGGGATTTGCTGAGCGGAAAAGAAGGCAGCACTGAAGGCGTCCAACGCTTGCCCGAATGGCTGGATACATTGAAGAAACACACCAACCCTTGGCCGACCCCGCTCCGCCATCACTCATTTGGCCCAGCCCAGTTTCGTGGGTTCGTACCGAGAAGCAAACCGACGTTCTCATTTTTTGGGGAAGGTTCTTGTTGGCCATCTGCTTGGCCGCCTATTGGTTGTAAAGGGGTAAAAACCGGCCCGAATTATTCAGGAATCATGCTTGGCCGCCTGTCCACAGATGAGGAGTGGTTGCAGGGTTAGTCGTGACCCCCGCGACGGTAACGCGATCCAACGCCGTTATGCGAGCGTTTGTTTGTTTGTTTGTTTGTTTGATTGGTTGTTTGCTTGCTTGTTTGTTTGCTTGCTTGCTTGCTTGCTTGCTTGTGTGTGTGTGTTTGTGTGTTTGTGTGTTTGTGTGTTTGTGTGTTTGTGTGTTTGTGTGTTTGTGTGTTTGTGTCTTTGTGTGTGTGTGTGCGTTTGTGTGTGCGTGTGTGTGTGTGTGTGTGTGTGTGTGTGTGTGTGTGTGTGTGTGTGTGTGTGTGTGTGTGTGTGTGTGTGTGTGTGTGTGTGTGTGTGTGTGTGTGTTTGTGTGTGTGTGTGTGGGTGCGTGCGTGGGTGCGTGCGTGCGTGTGTGCGTGTGTGTGCGGAGTGACAGAATACCCTGTCACCACCTTGTGCCGGTTTTGGAAGCAGGGGGCCCGCGAGCAACTGGATGGCGCGGGCCAACGAAGACCCATCCAGTTTGCTGTGCAAACGTACCTGCAGAAGTGATTTAAGGTCCTTTTGGTCCCCTCCCTGAACCGCCGTTGCTTCCTGTTTCCCTGTTAAGTAGCTAGAGTGAAGCCAAGTGATTGCGAGCCGAGATTTCCTCCATTCCAGTTGTACTCGAGACTCATCAGTTGTACTCGAGACTCATCAGTTGTACTCGAAAGATTAGCACTCTCCATCTGGAGTTTA